GTGTGTGTGTGTGTGTGTGTGTGTGTGTGTGTGTGTGTGTGTGTGTGCACACGTGTGAGTCCAGATAGGGCGGCTCGGCCAGGAGATGTTCCTTGAGTGTGTCGTACATAGGTTTGCACTTCACATACTCTTTTGTTCCACTAAATCATTTCCCTGATTGACCCTGAGTGGAGCCTAACCGCCAGCCAGGCTTTGTATCACTTCATTTCACTTCATCTTGCATGAGTCCTTGTAGTGAGGTCTGTGTGCCGCTCACTAATCAAAAATATGTTCTGAATTCATGGGCATCACTAATGAACAGGCTTGTTTGTTCAAATGCAAGAGCAAACACACACACACACACACACACACACACACACACACACACACACACACACACACACACACAGGCAGTATGTTTGCCCGTTTTTTTTAGTTCAACAGTTGTTGAGTGGACAGTCTTCCTGAGCTAAGTCTCCTTGGAGTTCTGTACTGTGGGAAAACACATGTTGTTGTCCACTTTCCTGACATGGGGGGGGGGTTGGGCTTGAGGACAAGAAAGTTGAAGCAAGGTCACTCTGCCAAGAAATACAGTAAACCAACTCTCAGAGGATGCGTTTGTGTGTGCAAGTCAAATCTGAGCACATGTTTGAGTCTTAGTGAGTGAATGCATATGCACAACCCTGCATAGAAGCATATAGAACCTGCATGTGTGTCTGCATGCAGTCCGGGATGTTTTCAGCTGGTCTGTTTTTCAGCTGTCTGCAGTGTGTCCTCTGCTCACTGCCCAGTGAAAGCTCCGGGATGCATCTAAAAATACCATGGGCCAAAGAGGAAAAGGACTGAGGATGGAAACCATTTCCAGAGGCAAATACGAAGAACACAGAGCTCTCTAAAATAAATCAAAAAAAGACAACAGAGCCTGGAGACATGAAGAAACCCCCCCTGTGACAAGCAGAAGGATTTCCCCTCATCCTCTTACAGGTGCAGGATTAGTTATTTTCAATAAAGATGAGATATCCTCGTTTCTCTTATGTAGTTTTTTATATATACTGAGTTACACACTGCTTAAGTCTGTATAAAATCTGAAAGTGCTTCTTAGTGCAGTGTTTGTGATGGCACGGAGGGTTACACTCATCCAGGGCGGGTGCTGCACTCATTAAGTTAATTTCCGTCTATTTTGCTGAATTAAAAACAGATTTCTGGGAGATGTGAGATGCAGGGGTAGACTGGTGCAAGAGTCGTGAAGAGATGAAGGGGAGGAGGAGGAGAAGGAGGAGGAGGAGGAGGAGGAGTGGTGGATCCAGATGGGAAGGAGCAGCAACGGCGATGCAGGAGGGGAGAGACGGAGTGTGGAGGAGAAGACGCGCAGCCTCATCTCCGCCTGGAACATGACACACACTTTTATCAAACACTGAACGACCGGATTACAGCTCGGTGGCGACATGTATTTCGGTATGTAAACGATGCATTATGGCTTTAATCTTTAGAGGAGTGTGTGTATGTGTG